GGCACTGTTGGGCACTGATCATCAGCACCCCTTCTGATTGGTGCAGATGTCCTGTGTGTCATTTGCTGGTTATCAGCAGTACTTTCCTCATGCTATCACAACGTGAGGAAAGTGCTGCACATAACCAGCAACTGTATTTACATTGTGATCTGCTGTGTCATTGGACACAGCCGATCACCTGGTAAAAGGCCGCTGTGACTGGCATTTTACATCATCATGTTGTCAGCTTTGTCCATAGTACACAGTTTTCATGTAGATAGCCATATGCGTGCCCTCCCAGAACTGGACAACCACGTTGTAGCCATCATTCGGCTATAGCGCGATTGGCAAGTGGTTAAATTACACTGCCATTGATCATATATGCAGGAAAGGGGTTGATGGTGGGAATTACAGCATTGCATTGGCTACCAATGAAGGGGTTTAAATAGCATACCAGTGTCCACCAATGCTGTTATTTTTGGGGTCACTGATGCTAATTCTGGGGATTAATCTTGAGGTCACTGACACCAATGTTGGAGACTATTGAGGTAAATGGCACTATTGCTAACAGCTATAATTGCAACCACTGGCACCAATTCTGCAGATTATTACTGGGGTCACTGATACCAATGATGAGGGCTATTACTGCAGTCACTGACAGCATTGCTGGAGGTTATTATTGTGGTCACTATCATCAATGCTGGGGGTTATCATTGCGGTGAGTGACACATGCTGGGGGTTACTATGGAGATCACCAATTGATGGTGACCTTGGCTTCAGTGATGAGGCATCGCCGAGCTCGCTACCCCCCACTGACATCTTCGCTGTCATTGGCCAGGTGGGGATGATGTCATTCCCTCGCATGAGCAGCTGTTCATTGAGACTTGGCATTGGTGAATTTGTAAAGTGAACTGCGCGTGCACGGCTCACTGTACAAAGGTGGACGGGCAGGTACTGTGAGTAACCTTAATTCAGAAGAGTCAAAGAAGTACAATTCCTGCCTGTTCGCCCATCTTTAATTCTGGCCTCATGTTCCACATTGACTAATACTACAGAATGATGAAAGTTGATATACTTATTACCCCTCTAATTAACCTGTTCTACAGCACAACAGCACAAAAACAGTATTATAAAAGGAGAAAAGACATGTTTGAGAGATGACAACAGGCTATTAAGATATAATAAACTGGGAAAAAAGTATGTTTTATTGTACAATTGTGGCTGGACAGGTTGAATAAGGCTCCGGCTTGAATAAAAGAGAAGGCAGTATTCACTTCAGCTCTTTTTATGTTGTAAGACTTGAAGTACGCGACACACAGCTTCTGTAACCTAGTGTCCACGGCAACCCTCAGCACATGACAACCAGAGAGAACAAGGAAGAGTGGTCCCAGAGGAACTCAAGGAGGGCACAAATCCCAAGTGCACCTCTGACACGACTGCACACACCAGTTCCTAGGAGACCGCCACTCTCTGATGAATACATTGTTTGTACTTTGAAGTACACGAGTACAAAGGCACAGAGAAGCAGTGCTGAGTATTGTAAACTTTTTTTTGTTGTTTTGTTTTTGGAAAAAAAAAAATGCTTCAAATTGCAGTCTCTCTAAAACCGTAACAATCCGTATCCCAGAAAAGACAAGAAGAGCTTTACCATGGGAACATTTAGGAGGAATAATAGGAATACATGTGTGCAAGTTTTTTTTTTTCAAGAGTCTAAACATTGCCTGCTAATTGTTTTTTCTATTCTTCCATAGATGTTTTACCTGCAGGAAAAGAACCCACAGTGATTAAAATGTCTGGCAGGCTGGATTTATTGCTGAGCTGTCTTAAATTCAAAAGACTGAATCTCATGATAACGTAATGGTGCAAGAGGTTAGACAAAAAGCTTCATGTGTTATGATGGTCAGAAATTTGTTTGGCTATTTTTTTTTTCATATGAGTTCTACAAAAAATGCACACACTTCAAGAGAAGTAATATTACAGGAGAGTGACAGGATGCAATGTTTACAATATCAAGTGTTTCAAGTAACACAAAGAAGCTGGTTCTTTATCAGTGTTACAACCAAACAATAATGCCTAGTACACATGATGAGAATTCAGAGGAATCATTGCCTTTTTTTTTTCTTTTATTTTGCATGCTAGTATCGTATTAAAAATGAAGAGGCTACTAAAGTTATGAAAATTCTCTTAAGACAGAATACAACTTTGCAAGTGATGTAATGTATTGTATTGTATTGTAATGTATTGTATTCTTTTGTTTCTGAGCATGCAAAGTCTTGGTAACTAGTTTTTTTTTCCATACAAATATTACACTAATTACATAAACATTGTTTGATCTGTTAACTTAAAAAAGTTCATGCTCGTCCCTTTGGATATTTTCTCATGAACTGTCATGATCGGCTCTTGAAAGCTGTGTTCTAATGATCATATTATTGGACAATCGCTCCGAAAGCTTTTTTTTATCCAATATTCTCATCATGTGTACGAGGCTTAACTCAAACATAAAGAGAAATACAAAGGAATAAACATGCTGAATGACATGTGTGAGTGGTGTGCTCCTGTCTCTATCTATGTGACAGTGTAAGTTCTTTTTCATATTTTTTCCCTTGGTTTGCTGTGTATAAAATTAACAGATGTTGCATATGTTACTAGGTTGGCCATTTTTGGCACACATAGGCAATTAACTGTCAATAGTCTTAAAGGGGTTTTCCACCTTTTGAATGGAAGAAAAAGAAAGAAAGAAAGAAAGAAAGAAAGAAAGAAAGAAAGAAAGAAAGAAAGAAAAAGAAAGAAAGAAAACTTATCTCCAAACTGTCTATACTTAGGCTTATTATGCTGTTTTAAAAGTTGTTAGGGTTTTAGATTTGGAAGAACTCTAATACAAAATATTTTTTTTCGTTCTGAAACACCTTACCATTCAACTCTAGTTCCTCCCTCTCTGGCCTGATGGTTAGATCATTTTCAGCAAATCTAAGACTTTTAGTATACATTGCTATGCACGGTTACAGCTAATAGTCATAAATAACAATAATAATAATCATATATTAAAGGAATAGTCAGCACTCTTTGCACACCTTGAAGGATGCACTGATTTGTCAAGGTCCCAATGCAAAGTGTGGTCCCTAACTCTACTACACTTTCCAAAGGGGCCTTGATGAATCAGTGTGACTTCCACATTCATTTGCAAACATGTTCTACTAATACCTCTGTTTTAATATATAGTGTGTATATATATATATATATATATATATATATATATATATATATATACAGTGGGGATCGAAAGTTTGGGCACCCCAGCTAAAAATTTGTATTAATGTGCATAAAGAAGCCAAGGAAAGATGGAAAAATCTCCAAAAGGCATCAAATTACAGATTAGACATTCTTATAATATGTCAACAAAAGTTAGATTTTATTTCCATCATTTACACTTTCAAAATAACAGAAAACAAAAAAATGGCGTCTGCAAAAGTTTGGGCACCCTGCAGAGTTAATATCTTGTACTGCCCCCTTTGGCAAGTATCACAGCTTGTAAACGCTTTTTGTAGCCAGCCAAGAGTCTTTTAATTCTTGTTTGAGGTATCTTTGCCCATTCTTCCTTACAAAAGTCTTCCAGTTCTTTGAGATTTCTGGGCTGTCTGTCACGCACTGCTCTTTTAAAGTCTATACATAGATTTTCAATTATGTTGAGGTCAGGAGATTGTGAAGGCCATGGCAAAACCTTCAGTTTACGCCTCTTGATGTAATCCCCCGTGGATTTCGAGGTGTGTTTAGGATCATTATCCATTTATAGAAGCCATTCTCTCTTTAACTTTAGCTTTTTCACAGATGGCATCAAGTTACCATTCAAAATTTGCTGAAATTTTATTGAATCCATTTTTCCTTCTACTCGTGAGATGTTCCCTGTGCCACTGGCTGCAACACAACCCCAAAGCATGATTGATCCAACCCCATGCTTAACAGTTGGACAGAGGTTCTTTTCATTCAATTCTGTGCCCCTTCTTCTCCAAACGTACCTTTGCTCATTCCGGCCAAAAAGTTCAATTATAACCTCATCGGTCCACGGAACTTGTTTCCAAAATGCATCAGGCTTGTCTATATGTTCATTTGCAAAGTTCAAACGATGATTTTTGTGGTGAGGACGTAGAAGAGGTTTCCTTCTGATGACTCTTCCATGAAGACCATATTTGTGCAAGTATCTCTTTATAGTGGAATAGTGTACCACAACTCCAGTGTCTGCCAGATCTTTCTGGACGGATCGTGCAGTCAAACGTGGGTTTTGAATTGTTTTTCTCACAATCCTGCAAGCTGTTCTGTCTGATATTTTTCTTGGTCTTCCAGATCTTGCTTTAACTTCCACTGTTCCTGATGACTGCCATTTCTTAATTACATTCCGAACAGAGGATATTGACATCTGAAAACGCTTTGCTATCTTCTTATAGCCTTCTCCAGCTTTGTGGGCGTCAACAATTTTCAGTTTCAGTTTTCTAGACAACTGCTTAGAAGAACCCATGGTGCTAATTGTTGGGGCAAGGTCAGATGAGTCTGGGCATTTAAAACCTTTGAGATTGACATCACCTGGTCTTCCCAGACGATGATTGAGAACAATCCATGACACTGGCAGGTCTCAGCTTTGCAAAGGGGGCAGTGCATGCTATAAATTCTGCAGGGTGCCCAAACTTTTGCAGACGCCATTTTTTTGTTTTCTGTCATTTTTAAAGTGTAAATGATGGAAATAAAAGAGAATATTGTTGACATATTATAAGAATGTCTAATCTGTAATTTGATGGCTTTTGGAGATTTTTCCATCTTTCCTTGGCTTCTTTATGCACATTAATACACATTTTTAGCTGGGGTGCCCAAACTTTCAATATATATACCGTATTTTTCGCTCCATAAGAAGCACTTTTGTTCCAACAAAAAATGGGGGGAAATATCCGTGCGTCTTATGGAGCGAATATGGATGGAGCGGCCGGCCCAATATTCCCCCCGTCACTGCCGCCATGTTAGAATACCGGGCCAGCTGCTCGGCTCTTCTCTATGTAGCAGAACCTGCTCCTCGGTCCTACCTGTTCCTTGGTCCAGCAATGTCCTCACCACCTCTGGTTTCACTGGCCTTCTTCTCTCCCTGTCACTGGCATCTTTAGTGTGGGCACCCGGCTGTGACAGCGTGTGACTTCACAGCCGGGTGCCCACTGCACATGCGTGAGAAGTGCTGCGCTTTGTGAATGGACCCATAGTCTTCTGGGACCTGTCATGTGTCCCAGAAGACTACGGGGAAGGAGGAGAACGTCCGTTTTTTCGATCGCCAAAGGTCTGCAGTCTCTGGCCATCTCCTGTACTATGTCTGCAGTCTTCGGTCATCTTCTGTAGTATGTTCGCAGTCTCTGGTCATCTCCTGTACTATGTCTGAAGTCTCTGGTCATCTCCTGTACTATGTCCACAGTTTCTGGTCATCTCCTGTACTATGTCTACAATCTCTGGTCATCTCCTGTACTATGTCTGCGTTCTCTGGTTATCTCCTGTACTATGTCCGCAGTCTCTGGTCATCTCCTGTACTATGTCCGCAGTCTCTGGTCAACTCCTGCACTGTGTCCGCAGTCTCTGGTCATGTCCTGTACTATGTCCGCAGTCTCTGGTCATCTCCTGTACTGTGTCCGCAGTCTCTGGTCATCCCCTGTACTGTGTCCGCAGTCTCTGATCATCTCCTGTACGGTGTCCGCAGTCTCTGGTCATCCCCTGTACTGTGTCCGCAGTCTCTGGTCATCTCCTGTACTATGTCCGCAGTCTCTGGTCTTCTCCTCTAGTACATACAGTCTCTGGTCATTTCCTGTACTATGTCTGCAGTCCATTGGTTCAGAATATTTTTTTTTCTTGTTTTCCTCCTCTAAAACCTAGATGCGTCTTATGGTCAGGTGCATCTTATGGAGCAAAAAATATTGTATGTATATATATACATATATATATTTTATATAAATACACTAACACTATATAGCGTTAAGGACTGCTGACTATTTTTTAATTTCACCACAGTTGGCTGCACAACCTTCTATACTGACTGTGGGTGACAGTGAACGACAGGATGGCGAATCTAAAAAATAATAACAGTCATGTATTTGCCTCCAACCAATTTACACATTTTGTTTAATTGTGTAAAGTGAAGATGCAGCTTTCTACTCCAGAATAGTTTAGAGGGTAAGGTCAGGGTACTGTGTCAGCTGGATTCTGCCACAATAATAAAATGTCTGTTGACATTTTATTTGGCCTAGAAGTCCATCTGCACTACAGCTGCAAGCATCTGCCATAGTGAAGCAATGTAGTAATCCGCACAAGAATTAAATGTCAAAGGACACCTCATTCATATGTGTTTGACAGGAGCTGCCTGGACTAATGAAAGACTGAGTGAGAAATCCTAGCACTGTCCTACATGAGCAAGATGTGTATTAGCACCACAGGATCCTAAACTTATTTGGGAAGAGTCAGTTATTGACATCAGTTCCTCAATGTTACCAAGCTATCCGTATTATGGTGCCCAGTTTCCCAACATACCATTAATGTTGATGGATTGAAAATACAAAAAATAAAATAAAATAAATCAATAATAATAATTGTAAGTTTACAGTCAAACAAATCATCTAAAATTCACCAATAATGTCAGATTCACATAAAGTCCCACGTTGTTTGCATTTAGCAATTTTACACACAATAGATGTTAAAACAAAAATTGTTATGTTAACTATCCTACGGCTCTTAATTTCTTGATGAACAACAATATCCAGCATGCTTTGATTATATACCCTTAGGGATATAAGAATATAAAACTAGAGAAACATGTCAGTCATTATAATCCACTGAAATGAGATCTGGTACTTACATTAGTGGCATGTCAGGATTCATCTGCTGGCACAGATAAACTGGTTTTTCCCCTGAGTCTGCTTGGCATTTTCTGGCATTTCATTTCCTCTTTAGACCATCAAAGCTCACACAGAACAGATCAGCAATCATCATATTTTTTAGAAACCAGAAAGTGTAGTCTATTAAGCTAGCCATAGACAATAAAGGGTTGTTGAAATTTCTTGGTCTAAAATAAATATATATGTTTGGATCATCTCTGGCCAAAAAGTACCAAGTTGCTCTTGCTGTTAGAACATAGATCAGTCAAATGCAAATGGAGCCTCTGCACATGTTTTCATACTTAGCAAGAACCCTAAATTCCCCATTATGGTGTAGTCACAGTAATAACTCACACCCCATCAGCCTTGCTGCATGGGAACTGCTGCAATTCCTTGGGAAGTAATGACCCCATCAGTTATACCACCAGACATAAAGCATATGTCAAAGTAAAATAAAAATAAACATATGCAGTACATCTCTGTATTGCATGCACCTTTCACCATGTTCTATCCTTTTAAAGACCCTGCAGGTACATAAAAATACCTCTTTATTTGCCAAAAATGCACTCAGCTCTTAATTTTCTTTTGCAGGCTGACAACACTCAGCAGTTTTGTGGAAAGATTGGTGTCAGCCCAACCTACAGTAGTTTTGCTAAGCTACCCAACCACTTACACTGTCTTCATCTTCTAAGCATAGGCACTAAATGCCTTTTAGTCTTAAAGTAGGATTCCAGCATAAACCTACCTAGTCTTAAAATGCTTCCTCCACTCCACCTAGCACCTATGCTGGCTAACCTATGTAAAAAAGATGTATATGCTTACCTATTTTAATTCCACTCTTGTCAGGTCGTGTGATCCAGCTCCACTGTCTCAGCCAGTAGCAGCTGCAGCTGCAGGGGAGAGGAGGGAGCACCGACAACAGATGGGCCATAGTGTAGTCAATAGGTGATGGCACTTCTCCAGGGTTTACCAGCTATTGTTGGGAGCTCTGTCCTCTCCCCAACAGTCACCGCTAGCTGACATGGGGGATCATGTGACAGGTATCAGAGCAGGCTAAAAATAGGTAGGTATCAGGGGCGGACTGACAACTCATGGGGCCCCTGTGTCCTTGCCCAAACCCAAAAAAGCCTATGAAAAATGTACCAGGGGCATCTCATGGGGTCCCCTACTGACCCCGGGCCCTCGGGCAGTGCCCGAGTTTCCAAATGGTCAGTAGGTATATACATTTTTTTGACATGTTAACTAGCATAGTTGTTCGGGGTGGGGAAGAGACATTTCTAAGACTTGGCAGGTTTATTCTGGGATTATTCTTTAAGACAGGAATGGGGAAGGCTAAATAAATACTTTGAGATAACACGCAAAGTTCATTAGGATTTGTATACACTTTAAGGCCTCATGCACACAGGGCGTTTTTTCAGCCACTTTTAGGGGCGTCAGGTGTTTTTTTTACAGCTCATCCATGCTATCCTAGGTGTCCATGCACACATAGACTTTTAGGAGCTTTTAGTGGCAGGGGCGTTTACAGGCAGGAAAAAAAAAACAGGGCCAGTGCATCCAGGAGCAGCAGAGTTTGCTTGATGTGTGTAAACACGTCTAAGGCTGGCCATACATTATACAATTTTCTTGAGATTTTTGCTTTAGATTTACCAAAAAACATATAATATGAGGTCAAACCTAAACAACACTTTCAGTTGTATCCAATCAGGCAGGCTCTTGCACTACATAGTTGAAGGTAAATCTAAAAGAAATTGGGCAGAAATTGGACAGGAAATTGTATAGTGTATGGCCAGCCTAAGGCTGGCCATACATTATACAATTATCTGGAGATTTTTGGTTTAGATTTACCAAAAACCAAAATAGGAGGACAAACCTAAACAACCATTTCAGTTGTATCCAATTAGGCGGGCCCTTGCACTACACAGTTGAAGGTAAATCTAAAGGAAATTGGGCAGAAAATTGGAAGATAATTGTATAATGTATGGCCAGCCTTAGTGTGCCTAAATGTGCATTAACACTAGACGCGTTTAGCGCTTGAGCATTAATTCCTTTTAATGGCCAGAATAAATTATTATTAAAGCATTAGACACTTTTTCTGCCAAAATGCTGCTACCAAGTGGATGAGCGTTAATAAAACATCCTGTGTGCATGAGACCTTAGGAGTTTCCTATTTTTTGGTAAAAGTAGAAAACCCCCTTTAAATATATTGCATATTCCTGAGCAGGGGCGGACTGACCATTTGGAAACTCGGGCACTGCCCGAGGGCCCGGGGTCAGTAGGGGCCCCATGAGATGCCCTTGGTACCTTTTTCATAGGCTTTTTTGAGTTTGGGCAAGGACACAGGGGCCCCATGTACCCCCATTGCCCGGGGGCCCCATGAGTTGTCAGTCCGCCCCTGTTCCTGAGACTATTTTGATTCACGTTGCTTGTTTATAAATTTCTCATAGAGCTGATAGGCAGAGAAAATTATATTACTCTCAATCTTTCAAATCTGGGGCGGTAAAATATACATAAAATTAGTATTCCATCTAAGGAGAAAAGTTTTTCATCTGAATATTTCTTTCTATTGTGCTGCACCACTCCCAAACTGTTAATTACTGAAAGCATAGGTCAGAGTCCTGTTGTTTAAAAGCTTCATGTAGTGAATCAGCAACACACATTAAACAATCCATCGACTGGCATCAAACCAGGGTTCTAAGGCGCAGGGAGCTCAAAATTGTTCATAGTACCAAGCTGTACCAAATTAAAGCAATTAACTGTACTTTTCCCCTGTTCTGTGTTGTTTTTAGCTATCTGGTACAGTGTGCTCATTTTAATGCATTTATATAGTAATTAAATTCTATCAAGAATTAAAATTACAATAATTATTAGAAACTACTGGAAAAGGTAGACTTTGTTGGACAGTTGACTTTTGATTTCATATGTTTTATATCTTAATGGTGTTAGGTATAAGGTTTCAGTATACCAAAAACTTTTGTTAGCAGTCCCAGCAACCCACAGACTTCTGGTATGTTTTATGAACACACTAGAGATCCCGACTCTCCCATCACAGACAGAAAAGTTTAATATATTTTCTTTTCACGTGAACAGTAGTATGTTGCTGTCAGTGCTAGATCGTATTAATTCCTATAGGAATAAAACATGGAGATAATGGCATCTTTTTTTGGCCTAAAGCTTTATAGGACTATGACCAGGGCAAATTTATTATTTCCAGCTAAAGGTTTTCAACCCCCCAGAGTACTAATAATGTAGAAACCACCAGATGACAAATTAGTACCCACTATGTGCCTAATGCTGATACACTGTATAATATTGGCTTTTCAGTTAAAATAGATAAACAATAAATTGATGTTGTAAAGTATCCATGTTTTTTAATCCAAGTACCTGAATTTTAACTAACATCAGCCTCGTAAAATCCCTATACAATAGTGCTGAAACTTAGGCTGTCTATAGATTCCTAGTTTTTCTTTTTTTTGTGGATTAGCCAGAGAGAACAGGGAATTACTCCATCCACACACTCGAAGTGGATGTAGGAATCCTTCCTGCTATGCTATTGTATTCTATTAGTGAAACTCTGAGACACTGCTCAGCGCCTATGGCCTGCAGATCAACAGAGGTTGTCTAACAGTCCTGTCTGACACATCAATCATTAGACTAGCAGCTTGGGAGAGGGAACAGCTGCATTGTGAGTGATTTTCCCCTGTCTACCTCTACATCTCCACAGGATGTGGTGGCCATCAGGAGGAACTAGTGAGTGTTTTCGGTGGCCAGAAATGACACTCCTTGAAGTTTTAGTTCCAGAAGATGAGTTCAGCCTGGGATATCTCTGGATCAGAGTGGTGTTTAGTGGTGAGGCCATTATGGGAGGTAGCTGCTTGCTTCCTTACAGGTACAGTTTGTCTGGCAGAAACTTAGAGATCATTTAGTATAAGCAGCACACTTACATTACATTACATATT